AAAAAAATAAAATAAAATAAATTCACAGTTAAAAAGTAATTCGAAATTAGTTTATGAATCAAACTAGATATTTCAATGTAATACTAAATAAATTCTCATTGTAAACTTATTGAAACTTTTTTTTATTATTTGTATTTTTTGTCTTTTAATTTCAAATTTAATTTTTTTTAGTTGCACACTTTGACAATTTGACTTTTTTTCTTTAGTTGTACAATTTGACTTGAAGTTTAAACATTCTTCTTCTTATTCTTGTTGTTGCTTGGTTCGGCTAGAATTTGGGGTAAATAACTTTTTGAAAGTGTTTACATTTAGAGATGAATGTAACTCAGCATAGAATGCTGGGTATTCGCGTACAAACCTAATTAAAGACTAGTAAGATAATAGTCGCCGCTTGGCAATGCTCGACTGCGACTATACCCTGTACTTAACAACTGTACGAATGCAAGTTTAGTTATAGATTTTGGTAGTTTGATATTATAAGTATTAAAAACTGATTTAGCTACACATAGAATTGACGGACTCACGACTCATGACGGACATACTTTCATAGAGTAATACTTCGTTATATATATTTCTATATATATAAATGTTTCAACTGCTACAGTAATACTTTTTAATTTAATTCTGAAAACATTTTCGTACTCAACTTGTAGTTCGCTCTTAAGACTTTTAGTACTCGATAATTGTGGATGGACCGAATGGCATTTAACGAATGCTTTCCAGCATTTCTGACGGCAACAACTTTCATTGGCAGAATTTCAGAGAGCCCTATATATAGAGAGATTTTTATTATGAGATTCTATATATCTATGCTCTATGCATACTTCTATTACTTCATATCTATGCGTTCGCACGCTCGCTCGCTCGCTATTTGGCTCTAGCGCTGTCTCTTTCTATATCGTGTTTAAGACTTAAGTTTTATGTGATTTTCTTGTAATCATATTTAAAAGTTGACCTTTGTCCTGCGCGGGGGGCAGTGAGCGGAGGGCATTCACTTACAGTACTTTAAATTCACAAATTCTATTTTTCGCCCAAAATTCAACGAATCACAAACTACATTTTTTGTTGTGTTGCTAAACGTTAAGTTTTTGTCTTTTGCTATGAACTATCTAGAATTCTTTGAAAATTCGCGCATATGCCAAATATCAGCAACTCTATATATATATAGATATATATATATGAATATTCTGTATATTTCAGTTAAGATTCGGCAACTTCCTATACTTTACTTGAGATCTATCTTGCTGAACTTAGGCTCAGCTCTAAAAAAAAAAAAACATAGAGAAGTAAATACAATTTGGCTGTAACTGTTATCGATCTGTTGAACGATTGTAATACATAAAGTTTTATATAAAAGATATTTATCAACATTTAACACAAAGGCAATTTGTTAAAACAAATACGTTTGGAATTTTGATTTGCTTGATTTTTGATCGCACAATAGCGATAACGATAACATGATCGATAACTGGTTATTATTCGGCTTCTGCTTCAACTTCTGTTTCTGCTTCCGCCTTCTGTTGTTCGTCACAGCTTAGGCTGTGCTCAACTACTTATTGTTATTCTCCTGCAATAGATCCTCGAGTGCTCCATTCAGTCGCCCCTTGCTGAGCGCCTCGACGAGCATGTGCAGCCGCTCCTCGCGCTCCGAGTGACGACGCTCCAGCAGCGAGACCTGCAAGGATTCAGAGTTTACCAAGTGCCATTGGGGTATGCATAAGTGAAGTCGGGGCCTTACCTTGGCCTTCAGGGCATAGTAATCGACGGGCACCTTGCGCCGTTTCTGGGTGGCGAACGCCTCTTCGCGCTCATTCAGACGCTGCTGCAAAATGCGCACCGTTTCGTTGCACGAGGCCAGCTCTCGCTCGTGGGCGCTCTGCAACGTCTTTAGCTAGACAACGAGAGGCGGGCAGAGAGCGCAAGAAAGAGAGAGGTGTATAGATTAGCAACTATCCCCTTATATTAGCCACTCGATTGGCACTCACATCGTGCAGTCGCTTGTCATGCAACGTCTTGTAATCCGCCTCGAGCAGATGGAATTTGTTCTGCGCCTCCTTCAGTGCCTGATTTTCCGTGGTCGCCGGCACATGATCCGGATAATGCTGATGATAATGATGATGATCGTGCCCACGACGCTGTGCAGCGCCGCCGCTGGCCAACATGCCAGCGCCATGTGAACGAGAGCCTGAAAGGAGAAGTGGAAAACGGTTGAATATGAAATTTTCCGAGTGTGATGAATGATGTAATTATACATATATGCATATAAATCTCTATAAACAATAATCTTTTAGAACAACTCTCATCCTATGCTAGTCACATCCAATACGATTGGGGCCAGACAAAATTTTGTATATAGCTAATTCTCAATTCTCTATTTTGTATACCCTGAACCCTTTGAAAAGGGTATTTCAGTTATGATTTTGTGAATGTAACAAATAGAAGAACCTTGGCAGATCCCACAAAGAGTATATACTATATGTTTGATCAGGATGACACCTTGAGCTAATATAACTATGTACGTCAGTCAGTTCGTAAGTTCATCTTTTTATCTATCCGGCTTTTCGACCGTCCCTGCGTTATTCTATCTATCCTTCCGTCCTACGAACTTATTGTTCTTCTCTCTATACGTCCGTCTCTCCTTCTACACCTCCGTCCTGCCTTCTATGCGTGCTTCCGTCTTTCCGCTGATCCATCTCTTTGCCCGTTTATCCGTCTCAATGGGACATGATATTTAAATTTTATACTAGTGAACCTAACTTAACTTATGCCGTAATTTCATATGATATCTTACTATCGATAACTTTATTGTATTTATTTAAGCGTACCAGGAATACCGTGCGAGCTTTAGATTTCATTCAAATTAAATAAAGCAAATTGTGTCTTATGTCTTATGAGACTCGAGTCTTCGGGTTGGAAGTAAAGCTTATACTTTTCAGTGATATGTTTATTATTTATTTTCTGATGTCTGAGCATGGTACCAGTTCAGCATTGTACCACACAGTATCGATATGCCTATGATATGCCTGAGTAAGGTGTGTAAGGAATGTCTCCGAGTTGGCATAGGAGACCAGCGATTCTACTCGCGACTCGCATTCCATATATACAAATTGGTGCCAGTATACATCGATGTGCATAGGTATTTTCCTATTAATTGAAATTTGACCACAACAACAACAGTAAGAACAACAGTTCACACAGTAACTCGGATAGTTTTCCACAGTCAAAGATGCGCAAAGACGTAGAATGCTCTCAAAGCTTCTCAGAAGAAAACACATTTACACATTTAATTGGGCAACAGTAATAATACATAATGAGTTTAGGCACATAATGAGGCTCTATTCGTGCGTGCAGAATTCAATGAATACCAAATAGTGAATAACAAATAATTGAATTGAATAACTTTTCAAAATACTACATAATGGCATAATGGCATAAAGGCAGAGCATCACGTGGCCAATTAGAGGCTGCTTTGGCTCAAAGTTCAATGCACTTTGCACAAAAATGAAACTTGGCGAATAAAATCAAATTAAAGCTAAATAAAACTACAATCAAAACGAGAGAAGAGCAACATGATGAAGAAGAAGATATAATTAAATAACGTCTGATTGCATAACCAGAGGCAAAAACCAAAAGCCAAAAACCAAAAACCAAAAACCCAAAAAATAAAAAAGTAAATAACAAAATTTTAATCAAAAAATTTGCATTTGAACACGCGCTGAAAATTAAAATAAAGTTACTGTTGTTGTTGTTGTTGTTGCTGGTCTATTATTAGCACTAGAAATAGTTGTTGTTGTCGCTGTTGTTGCTGTTATTGCTGTCATTTAACAAGCAGACACAATCTACAACAACAACAACAACAACAACTAGCTGCCAATGTAACATTAACAACGCCGCCGAAGAAGCGACTAACAAGACATGAAATTATAAAACGCTGCGCGCATGCGCAAACGACAAAAGACGCATTAGCCACGCCTCCCCCCTCGCTACACCAGCGCCTCCACCACCGCCTCCGCCTCCCTGCTCGACCGGCACGCCCCTGGTGCCAAGTGTGGTCGCGTCTTTGACTTTGACTTTCGCTTTCGAATTTTCTTTTTCTCTTTCTCTTGACAACAAAAAATACAACAACAACAAATAATAATAATAATACAAGAAATACGAAAAAAAAGCAAAAAAAAAAAAAAATTCAAATCGATGAAATGCAAATAAAAAAATTATATGTGTGTTCCCTCTCCCTGCCCCCCCCCCCTCTCCCCTCTTTCTCTCTCTATCGACCCCTTGCTGACATCCTCCACCTGTTGCCGGCCCTCGCTCCCCGCCCCCCGCCGGCATGCTGGTGACATAACCAAGTGGCCGAGTTGCCGCCGGCCAGCGAAAGGGGGCGATACGGCTAAAAGGGGGGCGTGGTTACTAAACGCGTTGTTAACGTGTTTAGTTTTTGTTTCTGCTTCTTTCTTGTGCGATGCGCGCTTGGACCACTGCCCGCTGAAATGAGTGCGAAAAGAAGCGAGTGTGCATGGTCTAGTCGGGTATACTCGACTAGCAGAGAGCTCAATATTCAGCAAAGGAGCTGCTGTAACTATGCCATAGGCTTTATAGGCAATACATTAATTCACAGAAGCCTTTAAGCTTTCTAGATGAGCAAATATAAAAGATGATGGTCTATCGATATTTATCGATTTTATGACAGCAAACCAAAGGCTTATAGGATATGCTTGCTTCTATAATATTTATTTTTATTTGTAATTTTCGCACAACAAAATATGAGCTAAGGTAATAAGAGATGACCGATATTTATCGATTTCGTGGCTCATTGGCAGTTATCAGTGTTATAGGTAGAACTTGAAGGCAAATTAGCTAAGGAGGAGAAAGGCTGGAAATATGTATATATCGAATTTCAAGTCCTAAAAAACTATCGATGTTTATCGAAATCAATGAGACGGAGTAGGGACCAATGATAAATGACAAACATATAAAATAAAAATATATCAGATCTACAGCTAGTAAAAGCTTTAAAAGTCACTTGAAACAGCGGAGCTACAAAGTTATCGATATATATCGATATACCATTTTATTTGGTAGAGAACTTTTGAAGAATTTTATCAACTGAATGGACAAACAATTTATAATTCGCTTTTACTTTTTGCATAGTCTATAACATAGCCAATACAACCCGACTCTTTAGTACATTACAGGGTATTAAATACAAAGCTGTGCGGTCAAAGTTGGCCACTAGCTGCGGCTCTGGAGCGTCGAGGGGTAAGGTTAGCGGAGGGGCCAGCAGCCCGAAGGAGGGGTAAGGCAGGCAGACAAACGAAGAGACAGATGGACAGACAGACAGACGGACAGACGGACAGCTAGCCAGGCAGGCAGGCACTCAGGCAGTCAGGCAGGCAGACAACAACAGGCAGGCAATGATTTATTTCAGCAATTTATTTGCGTGTTTCGCTTGGCTTTAAGTCTTGTACGTGCTGACGAGCAGAGAAAGTCCATAAATTACACGAGCAGCAGCAACGACCGAGTGACACACACACACACACACACATGCAAACACACACCTGCACACAATTGTCTATGTCTGTTCAGGCTTACCTGCAGTAACAGCAGCTGCTCCCACTCCGCCTCCGGCTGGATCCCTCTCCCGCTCGCGCTGCAGCTTCCGTATGGTCTTCTTGCAGTCATCCAGCTCGTGGGTGAGGCGCTGCATGGCCTTGTTCTTCAGCGCCAAATCGATGCGCATGCTGCGCACCGAGCTGAGCAGCTGGGAGTCCTGCAGCTGGCCGCCGGCGCCGCCGCCAGTCGGGCCATGGCCATGGCTGAGCAGCGACAGTGTGGAGTCCGACTGGGAGATGGGCAGCTTGGAGACACCCAGGGCGGCCGAGGGATTGCGTCGCTGTGCGCCGCTCTGCTTCGAGTTGGGCCGCGACGTGTTGGGCGTCGAGTTGGCTGTGCTGCTGGTGCTGCTGCTGCCGGCCGAGTGCAGCTGCTGCTGATGATGCAGCAGATGCTGCTGGCAAGTGATGCTGGGCGAGGGGCAGCCGATGGTGTTTGTGCTGTGATCCCGCATCGAGGAGCTGCTCGCCAGCGTCTGGGTGCCGGTGGTGCTGCTGCTGCTGCCGCTGCTAATGGCCTTGCTCTGCTCCTTGCTCTGCTGCCCATGCTCCAGCTCTGCATCCGTTTGGGTGCAGTTGTTGTAGTACCTGTCGGCACGCTTCTGCATGAAGCGATCCAGGGTGCGCACCTGCGACTCGATCTGTTCGTTCAGCTTCGTGTTGATCTCCTGCAGACTGCATGAGCAGAGACAGAGATGGCTATGAGTCGAAAAAAGCGAAACAAAACTGGGGGCAACTCAAGCTCACCTGAGCACCTGTGTCTCCAGATCCGCAATGTGCGTCTCGTATTTGGCCTGCACGGAATTGAAGCGCGCCTGCACATTGGCCAAAATCTGCTGGGCCTTCCGATCCTGCTCCTTGGCGTCCGACTCAAGCTGTGCGATGCGCTGCTCCAACAGCTTGCGGCTGCTCATGTTCTCCTGGTCGTTCAGCGAGCACATGGTCGTGCTCTTCGAGGCAACTGCAAGGCAAAGTATGATTGAGAAACTTGTTTAAGGTCTAGCATTAGGGCGTGGCTGCTCACCTATTAGAGCCGACACCGAGTCGGGATGCTTGCGCATGAGAATGCGCTCCATTTCGCGGCACTGGCGCTGCAAGTCCTGTATGATCCGGGCGTCCTTCTCCTTGCCCTCGGCTGCCAGTCGCCGCTCCTGCTGTACCTCCTCCAGTTCGCTGCGCAACGAGCGCTCCAGCTGCACCGCCTCATCCCGATCCCGGCGTGCCGACTGCAGTTCGTTGCGCAGCACGCCGGCGCACTCATGCAGATGCTGCACGTCCAGCTTGAGCATCTCGGACTCCTCCTGCAGCCGACTGTTTTGCTCGCGCAGAGCGCGCTGCGTCTGCGACAGCGATTCGCTCTGCAGCCGCACCGACGCCAGCCGCTCCTCCGTATCCTTGAGCTGCTCCTGCAGCTCCTCGATCTCCTGCTTGAGCACGTGCTCCCGCGACACGCTGCATGTCACGATCTGCTCAATGGGCGAGCTCATTGTGTGCACCAAGTGCTTCGGCGAGCTGCCCACCGCCTTCTCCGAGTAGCTGGCCATCGGAGCTATGGGCTGGCTGCTGGCCACTGCCCGCGCCTTGGCTGGTGTCTGTGCTCCAGTCTGGGGCTGTGCCTGTGCCTGTGGCTGTGGCTGTGGCTGGCTGTTGCTGCTGCTGCTGCGGCGATGCAAGGCAACTCCTGCACAATCCTCTGCTTCGGTCAGTTCCTCCATCTGCATCGAATTCAAATGCAAATAATATTTATTATTTACGGATTAGTCGAGTCGTGAAAGTCCGCCTGCCAAGTGGCCCGGCTGACGGCCTTTGTTGGGTGTGTCAAGTGCGCCGTGCTAACGGCAACACAGACCCCAGCGGGCCCACAGCCAACAAAATAGCAACAACAATAACAACAGCAACAACAACAGCAACAGCAACACCGGCAAACACTTTTTGTTCACTGTAGTTTCTACGCGCCTTCTCCTTTAGCCGTTGCTGCCGTATAGCTCAAAAGCCCCAAACCCCCCCAGTAAAAAAAAACACATTGACACGACAAACCCCCTTGCCTCCCTCCTTTCCTCAGGTACACTCCTCGGAGTTTGGCGAAAAACAATAACAACAACAAGAACTGAAAACCAGTTGAAAAACAACAACAGCAACAGCTACGCAACCAGCTCGCACAGTGCTTCCGAAACTAGACAAACACAAGCGGAGGAGAATCTATCTCGTAATATGTAACAGAAAATCTCTTTCTATATAGTATGTAAATATATATAGAGAGATAGATAGAGATAGATAGAAAGATAGAACGATAATAATATAGATAGATAGATTATCGATATAAGTGGATACATTTTCGATATAGATCAATAGATAGCAATCGTACAGCTATATGAATTAATATTCATATTGCTTGATTGATTGAGCATATGTTCCCTTATTCTAGACTTATGTATTAAAAATAACAGTCAATTCTTCAATACTCTCTTGCAGTCCACTCAGGAGTTGACTGTCAATAAAATGGAGCTAACGCTTCCGCTATTTCCCTATCGTCGTAACCTCTGATGTAATATCCATAGGGAAACTAATCTATTTATATTTATTTATAGAGCTGAATTAAGAACATAACTTAATTCCTGTAATTTTCCTGTATTTTTATTGTATAGCCTAGACCTGTTGCTCACACAGAGTCCATTCAGGGAAGAGATAGAGAGCGAGAGAGACAGAAAGCTAGTGGGTGAGAGAGCGAGAGAGAGAGAGAGAGAGAGATAGAAGCAGATGGATAGAATCAGTTAAATATGCTTGTATTTCACCTAGGATTAATACCTAGGCATAGACAACTAATACCTAAAATTCAAGTAGAAACAACAGTTGTGGAAATTTGATAAGATTAAGTAAGCTCAAGTCTAATATTACGATTAGTTTGTTTTCAATATGAAATCAGAGAGTTAAGATCAATTTCCCTAAGCATAGATGTATGAGTATTGCAAATGAAATTTGGTACCACTGTGCGTTGGTACGTGCCCTCGCATGTCACACTTGCATGTGTATGTGTATGTGTGTGTTGTCTGTGTGTGTGTGTGTATTTAACAAGGGTAAGCGATGACGACTTAGGCTATACTGCGCAGATAATTACATTGATGATGTGTGGGTGTGCGTGCATGTGTATGTGTGTGTGTGTGTGTGTGTGTGCGTGTGCTCTGCTCTGCTCAGCTGTGCTGCGCTGCGCTGTTCAAGTAACAATAACAACAATGGCAACAGTAACAACAATGCACTCTATGAGGCAGCGGAAATATTGGAAGAAGAAAGTTTTCTGACTCTTCTATGTAACCGAAGTTTGTCCGCACGCCCACGCGTCCAGCTCCTATTGAACGATCTCTCTCCTTCTCTCTCTCCCTCTATCTCTCTCCCTCTCTCTCTCGCTGCCTTTCTTGGACTCGTTCAAGTCTCATTACAAAGCGTTCAGCTTTTTGTGTGTTTTCTTCTGCTTCTTCTCCTTCTTCTTCTTCTTCTTTACTGACTACCCATTCGAGCCACTTGAAACGCTCTGACAGCACTCTCGCTTTCATCGCTCAGCTCATTTCGCTGATGGATTCTGGTAGTAGTTGGTAGTTGGCCAAGGCAAATGTCATCCACTGGGTCCCATAGACCAGCTCGACTAACCCATATACGAGTCTTGGGTCTTGTTTCTCATATGTTAATGATGTTTACGTACGTGTTTCGTTTTTTTTGTTTCTTTTTTTTTTTTTTTTTGTGTGTGTCTTTTAAATATTTCTCGAAAAAGAAAAAACAAACTCGCTCGCTAATCCCCACTTTCCATTTCATTTAAAATACCTAGCGAGCGAAACATTTTAAACAACTTAAAATATTACAAGAGGTATTTTTTTCCTCTTTCATTAAGCCATTGTATGAATGGCGACTCGTGACGTATACGAACTTTTCGACTTAGGTATTTAGGAGAGTGAACTCTTAATCCCAAGGGGAATGTCTGAGACATGTGGCCCAGCATGGGTAGAGCAATAAATCTTCACTCTGGCAGCACCATTTCCCATGTCAAGTTTTCTCCATGACAATTTTTCCATCAATAGTTCTTTAAATTTATTGTACTATGAGAGAGATACCCTGTAATATGTGTCAAAGTATACCAAAAGTATGCTATACTAAAGGTTCATATATGGAAGTATTTTGTCAAAGAACCTTTTTAAAGAGTCTAGCTTAACTGGCTCCAATTCTTATCGAAAGTGTGCATTGATTTGTCGATAACATTTTATAGTGTATATCGATCATATACTATCCTTATATGAGATGTGAGAAGAGCGCAATATCATTTTAATATCTGGGTAAATATCACTCAAAGAATCGTATTTATCTATAATAATAATCGATACCAAGATAATACGTAAATTAATAGATCATATATATACTGCTACCAATACTTGACTTATTGATTATATAAATTTCTAGTTGGAAAAGCTTTAAATGATACTGTTTTCTTCTTGAATTATTTATATTAATAATAGATAATATAGCTATAAATAGGAACGTTTCCTCCGCTTCTATCGATTTCTCTACATCGAGAGGAAAGTGAATCTTTATGAAGGCAAATTTCCTATCTTGAAGCGCAAACCATGTCTCGTTTGCAATTTGCCTATAAATACTTGCTATGGATAAGTAGATATACTCATGACTATATATGTACATACATAAAAACAGAGCAGAGTCGATTGGGTATTTATGTGTATTAAGGACAATTTCACTACTTCAGTCAAATGTTGATTATTCGCAATTACTTGAGCTCCATACGCTCTTCCTCAATTGACAATTGATAAACCGATATACATATGCATATACACATATAGAGATATATTTATACATATATCTAAAGTGAAAGGAGCGGCATTAAAGCGGCGATTGATTAGAGAGCGAGAGTAGATCAGAGCAGAGCTACAACAACAGCAACAACAACAACAGCAATAACAAGAGCTGCGCTCATTCAGAAATCATGTCAATGCTTTACAAATTGGAAATCTCAAAAGCCAAGACAACGAGAAGACAACAACAACAACAACAATCGATCAATTTTTGAGTAGCTGCCAATTTCATCTGTTTGTCATTCACTTGTGGGCGGGCACGTCTCACCAGCCACGCCCCCTTCGCGCTTTGTCAAGCAACAATAAGACCGATTAAGACAAAGACACACACATACATATGTATTAAGTGACACTATGAGCAAATTGATATCGATAAACAAGGCCCAGACACTAATTAATGATCGATAATCAGCTGCCTGGGCCTATGCGCATATAGAAAGTGCAATCGGCATTATATAAATCTAGCACATGCTCCAAATATCAATCAATAATCTGCTGCGTTTATTCAAGTCATTTTCGGTGAGGCATTGAAAGTGCATACACGCAGATATCTATATGGTATATCGTATAGCGTATGACGTGCATCGTATAATGCGCAGAGATATTCAGATATCGTAAATATACATACTATAGTATATACTATTATATGTTGTATAACGTTCCCGATTTCATGCTCAGAATTCGACTAGGGAAGTGCATAGATAGAAAAATACATTATATAATATATGTACATATATACAATATAACAGTTTRCAAAGAAAGTCAAGCCAAATGGGGAATCCCCATTTAAGGTAAGCACAAACTATTTACAGATAGCAAATATAAAATGTTTGGTATGTGTGATAATTGTTGGGCAGGTACTTCTGAGCGCAGACTTTAAGCTATGGTATTATGTATTAACGTATATCAGAGAAGAAAAAGAAGAAGAAGATGAAGATGAAATGGAATAGGGAAGATAACAACAGCAACAGCAACATCAACATTAATATTATGATTATAAGCAAATCAACCCCTGGAAAGAAAGCGAGAGCGGGCGGCAGTTGGTGACATTTGTCTACGATCCGATTTGAAAATTAACATAAAAGATTCAACAACAACAACAACAGCAGCAGCAGCAGCAGCAGCAACAACAACAAAAAGCATCGCATTTATGAAGATTCATGCAACCGATAAAAGCGGGCGACGCTCCACGCTCGCGTCCCACAAGGAAGAGAGGCGTCGCTGTCGCAGTCAGCGTCGCAGTCGCCGCTAACGTTGCTGTAGCTGTAGCTGTAGCTGTAGCTGTTGCTGTTGCTGTTGCTGCTGTTGCTGGTGCTGGTCACAAGCAATCGCCACAATCTACATACATAACACGATTGCCCCACACACACACACACACACATACATACACACACGCATGCACACAGTAAGCGGACACTCGCTCGCACTGAGCGCTGACTGCGCTGCCAACGGCGCCGTCGAGAGAGAAATATCGAAAATGAAATGGCAATACTTTCGAAGCGTTGGTATAAAAGCTCCACTCCACCAATGGGACATGTCTCATTACGGTTTACTGTTAGATCTCGTTAAGATGTACGACGGGAGATCAAGAGCAGCATTTCAAGCCACAACAACAAAAATAACTATGACAACAGCAACAGCTCTATTGCTGCTGGTGTTGGCGGTCAGCCAAACGGCGGCCATGTCACTGGATCGCTTGACCCTGGAGCGGAACGAATTGTCCGCGCCAGCTCAAACACAACCTGAAACGCAACCAGCCACCGTTGTCGTGGATGACATGAAGATGGCCGCCGTGCCGGCGAATGGCGCCACGGATATATTCATGCTGGTGCCAGAGTCTGTGGCCAGCCAGCTGGACGACACGGAGCATGTGAATCGCAACACTATCGAAGAGACTGAAGCGGAGGCCGACGCCGAGGCCGCAGCTGAGGCAGAGGCGGCCGCAGAGGCGGAGAATGCAGCGATGGGCGAGAGCGCCGATATGCTGATGTTGGAGAGCGAAGATGCGCCGGTCATGCAGCTGGTGGAGCTGCCCAGCGATGTGGTTGAGGCACAGACCGAGCGGACAGAAACAGGCGGACTGGAACCGGTGGCAGCGGAGATCGCATCGCCAGAGCTGATCGAGGAGCATGTGGTTGAGCAGCCCATGGAGCAGTCTGTGGAACAAGCTCAGCTGGAGGCCATGGCAGAGGCGACTACCGAGGCAGTTCAGCAAGCCAACGAGGAGGCGCAGGCCGATGATGAACTGGTGGCCGAGGACAGCACGCCAGCTGCCACAGATGAGCAGAACAGCCCGGCTGTGCCAGTGGAGCAGCAGGTGGACTCCGAGGCAGCTGAATCTCAGCCAGAAATCGTGGAGCAACAGGACTCCCAGCCGGAGCCAGTTGCAGTCGCTGAGAACGAAGTGGACACCACCGAGGCATCATCCATGCTGGAGACCATCTCGGCGGATATTGAGCAAGGCCTGAGTGCAGCCATGAGCGAGCTGCTGCCCGAGGAGCTGAACGTGACCGAAGCCGAGGAGCAGACCCAGCAGGACGAGCAGTCAATCAGTCCAGCTGAGGAGACACCAGCAGAGCAGCCAGTCGAAGATTTCGAAACACAAACGGATGCTGCTGAGCCGATAATGGAGACAGCCACGGAACAGTTAATCGAGGAAGCCATGCCAGTGGCTAGTGATGCCGCTGAAGAGCAACAAGCGCCAGAGGAGAGCCAAAACGATGGCGAAACATTAGTGGAGGAACCAGTGGCAACTCCAGCTGAAATTCCCGTGGCAACACTCGTCGAAACACCAGTAGAAATTCCAGCCGAGACTCCAGCTGAAGCTTTAGCCGAAACTCCAGTTGAAATTCCTGCAGAAGCCCCAGTTGAAACCCCAGCTGAAACTCCAGTTGAAGCTCCAGTAGAAGCCCCAGCTGAAACTCCAGCTGAAGCTCCAATAGAAACTCCAGCTGAGACTCCAGTTGAGGCTCCGGTAGAAATCCCAGTGCAAGCACCAGTTGAAGCCGAGTCAGAGGCTGAGAAGGAACCCTTGAACGATGCCGAATCACAGCGCATCGAAATTGTTAGTGTGCCTGAACAAAACGAAGAGGAAGCTGGCAAGCCGGCAGCTGCTGTTCAGCCGGAGGTGCAGCAGGAGGCGGAGCAAGCTGTGGAGGAGCAGCCAGATGAAACACAAAAGCAAAATGAGATCTTGGCTGATGAAATAATCGATGCGGAGCCACAAGCTGAAGCTGAAGCTGAAACTGAAGCTGAGCCACAGTCAGAGCCAGAGCCAGAGCCAGAAGCAATCCAAACTCAACCAGAAGCAGAGGAGCAGGTTGTGCCACAAGCTGAACCGGAAGCAGAACCACAAGCTGATGTGCTAGCTGATGAAGTCCCAGCTGAAATTCAAGCTGAGATTCCAGCTGAAATCGCTGCAGAAATTCCAGCAGAGATCCAAGCTGAGATTCCCGCTAAAGCTCCAGCTGAAAATCTAGTCGAAATTGCTGCTGAAGCTCCCGCTGAAGTTCCCGTTGAAATCCCCGCTGAAATCCCCGCTGAAGTCCCCGCTGAAATTCCCGCTGAAGTCCCCGCTGAAATCCCCGCTGCAGTCGCAGTCGAAATTCCAGCTGCTCCTCAACCAGAGCCCGAGCAGTCGATCCTGACCACGATCATACCCGCCGTAGTGCCGCAGACACCCCAGCGCGAGTCGGAGCCCATTCAGGTCGTGGACAGCGTGTTGAACTATGTGAATGCCTCATTCATACAGCAAGATCCGTTGCCAGACATGGACGCGGAGCAGGAGTCGGCCACAGAGAGTGCATTCAATGCACAGTTGAGACGCTACGATGGAGCACAGCTGTGGCGTATTGTGGTGCAAACGGACAAGGACAAGAAGCTGGCCGACGAGTTGCAAACGAAATACGGTAAGTGCCACATGCCACATGCCACAGGCCGCATGCATGACTAAACCCTCTCTTCCTCATTCCTATCTAATTCCTGCAGATGGACAGCTTTGGAAGGAGGTGAAACAGGAGGTAGACTACCTGCTGAAGCCACAGGTGCTGGCCGCTGCTGAGCGTCACATACGCGCCGCAAATCTATCGCGCATCGTGCTGATCGATAACCTGCAGCAGGTTATCGAAGTCGAGAATCCGCCCGCTGAACAAATCGCCGAGCTCCAGAATCGCAAGGGTGAGTACCCAAGGCAAGAGTATGAAGTAAACAACTGAAATGAAGAGAAATGCAAATTTTGGGGTAGCATTTCGTTTGTGCCCCAGCTCAGGTGTCGCCATAAATGAGCTTTTAATGCAGCTAATAGTTGAGGCGTGTGAAAAGTCATAAAACGGAAAGTGTCACAACGCACGATAACAAAAAATCAAGTCGCTGCCAGGGCACGGTGCAAAGGTAGAGCAGAAACTTGAGTGAGTCGACCACAGATACCCTGTACAATGCAGCTATTCGCAACTTTTCTCAATTCAATGAATTAATAATGATGGTTGATAATTTATTATGATAATTAATAATGATGGTTGATAATTTATTATGATAATTGATCGACTTTTGAATATAGAAATTTTATCTGAATTTGTCTAGTGATATAAAGTGAAATAAGTGATATACATACCTCATCTGTATGGCTGTATACCAAATGTATCGTTATCGTTAGTAATCGATAATTATTAAAACCTTAACTTAAGATGCGTAGGACTTGTAAGCAATAACAAAAGCGATATATATCGAACTTAATTGAATGAATAGATATATGCAATAATCGATCAGTTATTTCAATTAGCCTAGGCCATCGTCATATGACATTTGCTTGGCCCATTTTGTTAATGTGAATTCAGCTATACATTCGATATACCCCACATCAAGTATTTCATTTGGCAAGGGATATCAGAGGAACAGACCGTGAAGGTGGCTCAAAATTTATGCAGTCCAGAAGACAATCGAAAAGGGGTTGCAAAGGGAAAAATAGACATCGAGTCTGTCGATTGAGTGACAGGCGGAATAGTTGCGACAGCTTTTTAAATGCCATTGCCACGCCCACTCGCACGTTTACGGCCATCGCCCCTCCCACCGAAGTTGCACTTGAGACTGAGATATGAACTTGGGTAGGCAGCCCGGCAAGACACTTGTTTAATCAATAACAGACAGGACACGCAATTTCCTTAAGTCCCGAGCCAAGTCGAAGCACTTGACACTTGGTTTCCTTACGACCGAGTTGAACGAACGGCCGGTTGGGGTTGCCATAGTTTGTTAGCGTAAACTAAACTCACTCCCTCTCTCTCTCTCTCTCTCTCTCTCTCGGTACTTTTCACAGGACACCGGCTCACCTGGCAGGCATATCATCGCTTGGAGGACATTCATGGCTTCATTGATTATATGGCCAAAACCTATCCGGACATTTGCTCCACCGAAACGATTGGCTACTCCGTGGAGAAGCGCCCGCTCAAGATTCTCAAGTAAGTGGAATCAAACTAAATTGCTTAGGAGCAGTAAAGACTAATGCTAATCGTCGCAGGATCTCAAATGGCAATGCTCGCAATCCCAGCGTCTGGATCGATGGCGGCATGCATGCCCGCGAATGGATCAGTCCGGCCACTGTCAGCTACATAGCCAATCAGCTGATCGAGGGCTGGGAGGATCTGCCCGACCACATGCGCAACATTAACTGGTACATCCATCCGGTGGCCAATCCCGATGGCTACGAATACTCTCACACAACGGATCGCCTGTGGCGCAAGAACATGCGCTCCCATGGACGTCAATGTCCGGGCGTCGATCTCAATCGCAACTTCGGCTACAAGTGGGGCGGCAAGGGCACCTCGGCCAGTCCCTGCTCCCAGACGTACCGTGGCAGCAAGGCCTTCTCCGAGCCGGAAACGTTCTACATTTCGAAATTCATTAGCGGCTTCCCTCGCGACACCTTCCAGGCGTATCTCTCGTTCCACAGCTATGGCCAATACATACTCTATCCATGGGGCTATGACTATCAACTAACCAAGGATCGCGCCGATCTAGATCGCGTGGCACGCCAAGCGGGCTCGGTAAGATCAGTTGGCCTAACGAATGATTCTTGAATATCCATTCAATATCCATTCTCCCCTCATTTCAGATCATCACCAAGTCTTCGGGCGTCAAGTATACTGTAGGATCGTCGGCTACGACGCTTTATCCCGCTGCCGGTGGCTCTGATGACTGGGCCAAGGGCATTGCGGGCATCAAGTACGCCTACACCATTGAGATGGGCGACACCGGTCGCTACGGCTTCGTCCTGCCCGCCAAGTTCATTCAGAACAACGGCAAGGATGGCTACACCTTTGCCGACACCCTCGCTCGCGCCATCATTCAGGGTCGCTCGAAGGATGCCCGCAGCAGCACCCGCAGCATCCGTCGCCGCGTTCGCTAGTTGCCTTCCTCCTAGACTTAGCTCAATATGAATTTTTTTTTCTCGCATTCATAATTTATTATTTTTTTTTTGTAATGTTATTTATACGAAACTATTTATTTATTTATTTATTTGTAACTAGACAAATTGAATATATCAAAATAGACTGAGACATGTTTATTGAAAAAGAAAACCAAGAACGATCGATTTAGAGGCATGCTCAAATTACCGTTAAAGGGAAAACTTTAGGTGACAGACGAACATAT